AAAAGAATTGCTGACTACAGTATTGTTTTGTAATACTGTATGGTGATTTATAAGCAGCATTTTTTTCCTTTATTTTTTTAAAATGAGGTCAGTTAGTGACTTTGAACTTTCTTCTCATAAGTAAAACCATGCAAAGAAGATCCTCAGAGGTCCTTTTCTCAACATAGTTGTGTTAGGGAGGTAATTCTTAAGTAGGTCCCCACGGCATCCACTTTTTGAATAAATTGCCTTCTCTCACATGTGTCTGGAGTGATGCTAGTTATGACCAGCCATGAGATAAATGAGAAGATATTCACTTGAAACATCTTCTGTGTTCTGTATTGTGTAGTCCAGATGAGGAACTGAAGTTACAAAGGCTGATTGCTACCCAAAGTTGTGTGTTTTGGACCTACTATGTTAACAATGTATTATGTACACTTTAAAACATGCATAAAAATAAATATAAACATTTAGAAAGATAGAATACAGGTAAAATTTAAATCATTCTATTATTTTGTTACTGTACATGCTTGGCCTATTGGTATACCTCACATTGGAGAGGTATATAATATAATATAACATATATATTATATATACACACACATATGTGTATATATACATATATTTAGACAAGTTTTTTATAGAGAGCACATGTACTCACCAGAAAGACAGAGAGAGACACACAGAGAGAAAGTAAGAGCCCCCAACAGAAGGATGGCCACACTACAATCTCTTCCCCTCCATTCCCTCTCAGGATTTTAGGCATGCAAGCACACACACACACACACACACATGCATAATACAGCATGAATTTCAGACTGCTGGGTCTGGGACTCAAGCTGTGGTCAGCCATATGGGAGTCCAACATCTTAACCACTATGCAACCCACTGACCCTTATGTATAGTATTTTTAACTGAGCTACATTGACTACTAAATTTGTATAGCTCTGAGTCCATCAGAATGACATATCTACCCACCCTGTACCTCCCTCAAACCGTTAAGTCTCTACTACATGCCAAGCCCTACATCTAGCATTAGGAACTAAAAGGTGAATTAAACACTACTCCTACAGAGCTTGGTCTAAGAGGATAGATAGGCTCCAAAATATCATGGTAAGTGTATCATGAGGTATGGACAACATGAAAATAGTTGAAGAGAGGAAGCTGGAGGAGGTGACATTTGAGCTGAGCTTTGTAGGATGAGTAGGAGCACACCAGTCACTGGGCAGAGAAGGAATGAAGAAATCGAGAGTGAAGGGGCCTACCAGAGCAAAGGTATTGGGTAGGAAATCTCTATCAGCAATCCTTCTGAGTGAGGTGCAAGCTATTATACTTCAATCAATGGCATGAAGGCTTAGTTGACATGAAATAGTAGCCCTGAACACTTACTGAAGACGAGGCTATTGGATTTGTATAATTTAAACATCTCTGAGAGTAAATGATTTCATAAGGTTTAGCCACAACCATGTGTGGAAAGTTTCTCAGTAAAACACAGTACAAATTTCTCATTTACAGTAAAATCTGGAATGCTTGAGAATGGACTGTGCTAGGAAAATTGAATTTTCAGATTAACTGCAAAAAAATGGAAAGTCTAGTTAAAAAGTCATTCTAATTTTTCTTTCCTTTTAAGAGATAACTGCTGTTAGCATTTTAGAAGCATTTCATTTTAATTTCATCTAGAGAAAGAAAGAGAAGGATTACTCTGTATATTCAGTTCTAGCAATTGCTTTTAAAAATCTATCATTTCCCCATTATTTTTAATGACTACATAATATTTTATCCTACAAATATTTTATAAATTTTATACTATTTATAAGTTATTGGTGATCCATTTTGCTTCTAATGTTTTAACAGTATAACTAATATAGAGCACAATCACTTTTTTTTGAGAAGTTTTTGCTATAGTGTACGTGTGCTTACTAGAAAGACAGAGAGAGACAGAGAGACAGAAAGTAAGAAATCACACCCCAGAGGGGATAGTCACGCCGCAATCCCTTCTCCTCCATTCTCCTCTTGGGATCTTGGGCATGCCCGCACATGTGCCCGGCATGTTTAAGCCACTAGGTCAAGGACTTGAACTACGGTCGGCTACATGGGATTTCAGCGACATAGTCATTACGCTAACTGCTGCTCCCTAGAGTACAATCTTGTACATAATCCTCTTGCATTTATTATTAATTCTTTGAAACAGATTTTCTAGGTCAAAGGGTATGAACAATTCAAAATGTTAAGAATAAGTCATCAATATTCTCTCCGTTCCCCCTATAAAAGCTATGCCAAGTTATTCAATCAGACATAGCGTATGGAGCTATTCATTTTTTTGTATACTTGTTCAGTATGAAATGTTGATGTGTCTTTTCAAATCTTTTGAAATCAAATAAGTGAAAAGTGGGTTCATGGTGTTTCTTGTTTGTTTGTTTCTTGGACTCCAGGCTCATTTGTCTGTGCCTCCTGCCCTGTCTGGCTCCAATACTACCCAGGGCTCAGTCTGAAGTTGCTTCTCCCACAACCTACTGTCTAGAGGGAACTCATGGACTTCTATGGTTCAAATTCTATTTGTAGACTTCCATATTAAAGGCATTCCTCCTACCCAGCCCACTCTATCAACATCAAGCCAATCAGCAGACCTCAGTTCCTGTCTCCATAAATGTGTCTCCCAAATAGCCCCCACTGCACATCTCAAACCTGTACCTAGGATTTCATCCCTGAGGCAGGATTCTTCTTCTGTGTCACAGTTATGTACAAGCGTGAGCACCACATGATATAATGTTGAAATATTCAAACAATTTGGGTGTCTAATAACACATGCATAATTCTTTAATTATGGAGGAAAACTCAGTGTTCTCTGAATTAGGACAATAACCCCACTCCTATTTTACCCAGCCTCATTTCCATGCCAGGAAGCAAAGAGTTTCCTCTACATGTTACTGATTTTCACTTGGATGACTGAAAGAGCTAATTAAGCAGACACTCAGCATCTTTGCTTGGCTCATTTCAGTCCATTCTCCATGTTATGTCAAAAGAAGTCACTTACAAAAGCAAATTCAATCTTATCCCTTCATTGCGTAAAACCCTGAGATACTCCTCATTCTTCTAGGATGAAGGCAATGATCTTCAAAGAGCCCACACAGCCTCGCCTGTCATGTCTCTGCCCTCTACTCCTTCCTGACCCCTCTCCCCTTCCTCTACTCAACACTTTTCTCCAATTCCTGGAAGGCGCAATCTTCCCACCACTTCCACTTCGTAAATGCAATGTTTCACTCTGTCCTGGACTCTCTCCACACATGCCTCCTTACCTGCCTAAGTTCTTCTTACTCTTCTCCACCTTAATGCTACCCTCTTAGGGAAGTCTTCCAAGAATCCCAGAATGGGATATGTTATATATCCCATGTTCCAGTTTCTTGTCCATCCTGACTTTCTCCTAGTTCTTCCCACAAGTGTCTTTAAATTAATTTTTTAATTATTTAGTTAATGCCTCTCTTCTCTGTTCTATTGTAAACTACATGAGAGCAAGGACTAGTTGATCACATTCACTGCCAGTTCTCCAGCACCTGCGCAGCCCTTAGCACGTAGCTGATGCTCAATACTTTGTTGCTATACCAACAAACACAGAACATAATGAAATGCATTTTTATATTTCTAATGCTTTCTAAATTATATATTTACAAACATTTCCCAATTAGGGAAAATGAGGGCTCTTGGTGACTTATGAGAACTGTATTTATTAATTTGGTTTTATTTATTTACTTGTTTTTATTTCATAATAACTATTTATTATTACAACATACAAAATTAATTTTCCCATGTAGATAACACTGCATGTTGGGCTCAAAGACACTACCCTACATATTATCATCAACAGATAATTTTCCCTTTCATGTTTCTTAAATGTTTTGCTTCTTTCTTTTTTACCCTTGATTCCCTCCCTCTCACCCTCCATAATTTCCCACCCTCCTTCCACACTGTCTCTGGTATCTAAAGTTTCTCTCCATGCCTCTATACTATCCAATATTTCAGCTTCTGCCTTAAAGTGCAGACATTCAGTATATGTTGAGTGGGGACATACAGTGTCTCTTTTTCATAGTCTGACTTGCTTCCCTTAGCAGTACGTCTTCCATATTCATCTACTTTCTATGAAATGCTAGAGACTCTTTGTTTTTCATGCTGAGTAATATTTTGTATTGTATATGTGCCACACTTTTTCAATCCATTTATCTGTTCATGGACATTTGGGTTGGTTCTATGTCTTAGCAATTATGAATAATGCCACAATAAACGTGGATGTGCAAGTGTTTTTCCAGCTAAGTGTATTCCTATCCTCTCAGTAGATACCCAGGAGTGGAATTGATGGATCATATCGTAGTTCTATTTGTAGGTCTTTAAGGAAACTCCAATTGTTTTTCATAATGGCTGTACTAATTTACATTTCCACCAATAGCGTAGGAGAGTTCCCTTTTCTCCCTAGCCTTGCCAGCCCTTATCATTCTTTATTTTTCAATCTTGGCCATTTTGACTGGGGTTAGTTTTGATTTGTACCTTCCTTATTTTAAGAACTATTGAGAATTTTTTTCATATGCCTTTTGACTTTTTGTATGTCTTCCTTAGAGAGTTGTCTGCTCAGTTTATTATATAATCATATCCACCCTCTGCTGTTCTTCTGTAGGATATATCATTTCTTTCAATAAGTCATATTTTATATGTTTTGCTTATTAAAAACATATAATGCTAACATCTAATTCATATAATAATTATTAGCAGTTATACTGTGTATCATAATTAATATATTTCAACCTCACACAACCCTATGAGGTATAGAAAGTGCTATTATTGCCATTCTACAGATGAAGAACCCTAGTCTCAAAGGGGTTAAGAAGATTGTCCAAAGTCACACAGCTAAAATTAACAAAAGCAGGTACTGCACTCTTATTCTTCATGCACACTGCCTCTGAAGAAGTGGTTTAACCATTTTTAAGTACAGAAGAGGTAATGTTCAACTTGACTCTTAAAGGATAGGTGAGAGTTAACCAAGAGATGAAGAGAGTAAAGAAAGCTCAGGAAGGAGTTTCATGCACCAGACATGGAGCCATGAGGGCACTGTGCTGCTGCTTGGGAAGGGGCAGGTATGCATCTGGGCTCTGTCCTGAAAGGAACAAAGCTGAGGGGGTTGTGAAGGTTGCAGCTTAAAAGATTCATTTTGCTTTTCAAAAGTGTTCAAGATTTGTCTTGTCAGCAGTAGGAATTCTTAGAGGATTTACAAAGGGGGATATTGTCTGAATTAGTACTCTGTAGTTGAATAAGTTTTCTTTTCCTGTTAAGAGTTATGAGGAAATGGGAATATAAAGTTGCATGAGACTCAGTAGCTTATTAACTGTAAAACTCTACCTTTGTAATTCTGAGAAATGCTACAGTAAGGCTATGAAGACCAAGATCTATGTATGTATCTGAGCTGATTTCTGTTATTTCCTCCACTGTTTCTATGTAAGAAGAAACTGTAACAGGACTTCCAGAGTAGAGGTTGAAATGTCTCCCCATTGGTATTATTGTTCTGATTACATGAGCACAAACCTAATGTTTGCTACTAACTTTAATGCATGCAATCAAGGGAATTAATAGTAATTCTCATTGTTAAGTATCTGGGCTACTTTTATAAAAGGAACAGTGTCTGATGTGTAGCTACTAAAAATATCAAGAGAGTGTCTATGAAAAAAATTATCAAAAAGAATTCAATAGTTTGACCTGCTTTCTGGGACATTATCAGATTCACTGCATTTAGAAACCTCATCTATTGCTGGGCTTAAACCCAGGTCCATGGAGCAGAGAGAGATTAAGGATAGAGCTCAGGAAGATCTATGACCTCAGATGAAGGAAAAGGAGGAACAAATTATTTACATTAGTTTTGAATTAAATTTTATAATTTCTTCACTATAAATGTGTACCACAAACCACAGCTGTAATGTCTGCAACTGTGATACCATCATAGCAGAAATCATAGGTATTTCACCAGTACATTACAGTCATTTCAAGATCTGCTTACCACACTTTAAAAATATTATTTATTTAATGCTTGAAAAGAAACACAATTTTGATTTTATAATATTATAATAATTACAGTTTCTAATATTATTGATGTCTTCCATAATCAAATATCTTACCTGTTAAACACTTTATTTCTGAGAAGGCAGTCCTATTTCTCACTAGCCAATCAAAAAGAACTCTAACATTAAAAACAGTTAAGAAGCTCTGAGCCAAAATGTTAAAAATGACACTAGCTTACTAGATTTTCTGACACTCTCACTAAACCACACATAAAAAGTCTGTACCCTCATCTCACAACCTTTAGATTTGTTTCAAGAGTTCACTGTACTGGGAAAATCTAGACTTCTTTTCTTCTAAGACTGCTGTCTATACATTAAGCTTTGTCTTTAAGGGTTTCAGCCCTTCTGAGCTCCTCTTGGCATAAAATTTGCTCTTCTCCAGTGATACCAGATTTAGCACATTAAAATGCAGGATGATTCTCAGACTGACTCGATGGCATAGCACAGTGGTGACACAGTGCTCAGGTGAATCAGGATCAAGTGAGGATCATGGTTCAGTTCTTTAATCAACCTCTGCGCTGGTGTGCACACCATGATCCTGGCTGACAGGGAGGGCTGGGGGAGTTGCAGGGACTTTGTTAGTGTGCTGTCTTTCTTTCCTTATTTCTCTGTCTCTTCAACTCATGAAAGAAATAAATGAAAACTTTTAAAAAGCATAACTACTCAAGATATACTACATATACAAGGGGTCTTCAAAAAAATTGACAAAAATCAAGTCAAGGTGGATCAAGGATCTAAACCTAAGACCTTAAACTATAAAACTGCTCCTGGGAAATGCTGGGGAAACTCTGGAAGACATGGGAGTAGACTTCTTATATAAGACCCCAAAGCACAGTCGATAATCCCCAAAATAGACAAGTGGGAATACATCAGACTGAGAAGTTTCTACATGGCAAAAGACACAGTAATTAGTGGGAATCAACAGCCCTCAGAATGGGAAAATATTTTTGTAAATTATGCATCAGATAAGGGACTGATAACCAGAATACACAAGGAACTCAGCAGCTATTTGGAAAAAAGATGATCAACCTTATTAAAAGATGGGAGAAGGAGTTGTAACAAACAAACAAAAAACTCTCTAAAGATGACATATGAATAGCCAAAAAGCATATGAAAAAATGTTTAACATCCCTCATTGTAAGGGAAATGCAGATCAAAACAACAATGAGGTACCAACTAACCCCAGTCAGAATGTATACGATTAAAAAAAAAAAACAAAAAATGATAACTGTTGAGGAGGTGTGGTGAAACGGGAACTCTTTCACACTGCTGGTGGGAATGTAAATTGGTCCAGCCACTGTGGAGAACAATTTGGAGATTCCCCAAAATTTACAAATAGGGGACCAGCAGTTAGCATAATGGCTATGTTGCTGGACTCCCACGTAGTCAACCACGGTTCAAGTCCTGGACCCAGTGTCTTAAACTCA